GAACGGCCATCGCCTCCCCCTCAGGGCTGGCCGGAGAGGATCCCCCCGCCTCCTGAGGGAAGCAGGAGCGCCCTCGGAGGGGAAGCGGGAACCGGCCCACCGAGCGCCGTGCCTAGGGGCACCCCTCAGGCACCGTCCCGCCGCTTCCACGGTGACACACACACCGCTCCTCCAGAGGCGCAGGTGCTGCCCAGGTAGGCGGGGAGCCGGGCCGCCGCCCCTGCCTCCCCCGCGGCCGGGCGGGCCTCACCGGCGGGGGGAAACCTTAAATGAGGAGGGTCAAGGCACCTGGGGCAGCGTGCGGTTATTTTCAGCCACGTTCGGGGGAGGATATGAGCTTAAGTGGATTTTAGTGAAAAGGAAAATCTTAAACTCATTTTTAACTTCCATACGAAACACACTGTACGTTGTTGTGTGATGTTTCTTTTTGCCCCTAAAGTTTCTAAATCGGAATGTTTCGGAACTTTTAATCAAAAATAAACTGATGCAAGCTAAAAAGACCTAGGGTATTTCCATATTTATGTATGTTATATATATAAAAAACATAATGAATACTCTCCACAAAGCCCCACCTTTTTTTCTATGTCATGTAAATAAAAAGCTGTTACGAAAGACAACTTTAAATGCACCAACTGTGAAATATAATTAGTCATTTTCCCTAAATCATCCTAAAGGAAATGCGCAGCGTACACAGTGCCATGGAATATACAAGCAGCTGGCATTAATGGATTTTTTACATTTAAGATAACGTTTGAGATTTTTACAGAGAGAAGAGGTTTGGAAAGAAGGGCTAAACGGCTTTACACAGTGTTAATCAGCTGCTACATGAGAAATGTTAGAGACCAGATGCCTCAGAAAAATAGACCCCTTATTCAACTCAATTTAAGTAACTGTGTACCTTCCTAAAATGAGCATTACCCAAAGTAGTAGTTTCATTAAGCACACTGTCAATTATCAAACTTCTTTTATATCAAGTGTTCCTTTCACAGAAAAACAGTGCATCTCTGTGTAAATCAAGAATCTTTTCAATGAACAAAGCAGAGTACTTAAGCATTACAGTCCCTTTCTTTATTTTTAAACTCGTGTGTTTCTGTATTATCTTCTCCTGCAGCCATATTTAGGTTGTGCGTGTCTGTGCAAGAGAGAATGCAGTCAGTACAAGCCATCTGAATAAAAGGCTGCTTACACAGTAGTTTCCTCCAGCACGCTGCTAGTGACATATTGTATTGATTTGAATGCTCTGCAGTAAATATGGTCATTTTATAGATTGAGAATCCATTTCTATACTGCATGTCCTCTGCAACCGACAGATGTGTGTTAAATGCAGTGTGTGACTCTTATTTTGAAATGCTCACTGTGTATGCAGTGGTCAATCCAACATTTTAGAGTAAATTAAAATGTATTTTAGCCCAAAGCGTGGCATAATTTTATTCTGATTTATTCTTCTGTGATGCACTGGAGTTCTGATGTTTTCCCGAGTGCTCCAAAAATTACTAGGCAATGCTTCTACTGAAATTGCAGATCTGTAGTTTTTGATGGCAACTGGTCCACCACCACACACTGCACCTGGTGTTCCTAACATAAGGTTATCACGTAAAATCTATATTTCTGTTAGCAGCCTATGTGCATTGCAGCAAATGCATTTTAGAGCCGTAACGTCTCGTTAATGGCATTAAACATAGCTGCCACTCCAATGTGCAGGACACAGCAAACGGGGTTTATTACATAACTCTGAATTTGTTTGCAGCTGGGTCCTAGCTAGGCAACAGATGCTGTAAGGTATAAAAGGATTAAACTCTCTAGGTCACATGCCCGACATTTTGCTAAATATTTTATGTAGCATCATCTGGCACACATTAATTATGTTGTATTATTACTGTTTTAGACAATAGCAGTTATAAATAAAAAGCCATTTTTTTTTCCTACTGCTTTCAATTTGGAGCAAAATGTTAACATGAACAGCAGCATGTTAAGTTTAATATTTATCATAAAGTGAAAGCCTAAACAATTACATGAGTAATGTCTGCTATCTTTCAAAGGGTCCTTCTCAGCAGGAGCTGACATCTGAAGGTCCCCACTAAAGCGTGTTCTGAGGATCTCCAGTAAATTGGCTGATGGCAGCTTTTACTGTGCACTGAAGAGTACTTTAACTGGAAAGCCAAATGCCAAATTAATCACAGATAAAAATAGCAAGCTGCTCAGTTCTCTTTGTAAAATCAAAAATACTCTAAAAATTTTTTTGTGAAGCTGAATTTTCTTCAGATTAAAGCCAAGAGCCATATAACCAGGGATGGGTACTCTTAGATCAAGTTATTTTAGCAGATTTTCATATTGTAATAGAAATAACTGCAATTAAAACTTGAAAATGAGGACAACTTTTACTACAGAAAAACTGTAATGGAAAATATTCTTTAAAGAAAATAAAAGACATTTAAGAAAGTCCTACAATCTCATCTAGTCTGAGGCTACATCATTTCTCTCGTGTATGAAGTACTTGAGTGCATTAAATTCTTGGACTTACGTGTTTTGTATACACTTAGCTTTTATCTAGGTATCACATACAGTTCTCTGTACAGTGACCTCTAAAACCACTAATATGAATGCCTTGTAATCATTAATTTGTTCTCACAACACAGTGGAGAAGTATTGTCCCTAATTTTAAGATTATTAACAGAAAGAATAAATACTTACCTTGGGAATTCATAGTAAAACAGAAGCAGCCATCAAATTTAACATCGTCCTTTGTTTATCATATTAATTTGGGTGCTTTTGTAACTCTGACAAGTTATATTTGGATGAGTAAAGCAGCATACCTAAAGGAATCTTCTGTCTTCCAGTGAACGAGACAGGAAGTCTCATAAGAAGCAGTCTTAGAAGTTAATTTGACTTTATTTGAACAGAATACAGTCATCTAGAAAACAAGCTAACTCTCTTTTTAAACACTGATAGATGAAAGAGACAGCACAGGTATTACTGGAGAAGCAGTAGTTTCATTATCTCTTAAACTACTTAGAATAACAAACCACATTACAGTTTATTAGGACAATCTATTTGTGAATACTTGCCCTAACAAGTTCGATCATGCACTCAAGTGAGATATAAACTATCCAGTCTTTAAGTTTACTAACATCCTATTATGCAAACAGTTTCAAGTAAATACTTTTGCCTAATTTGAAAAATCTGTCACCTTCCACAGCACCACATGAAGTTCTGGTGTTAAAATAACATTTAATCCACAGCAATAGCTAAATATTTGAAATACTTACATAATACACTGTAAACTCTACATAACACTACGTACACCAAAAAAACATACAAAGAACAGGAAGATCATTTTGATTAGCAAAGACAACTCAAATGTATCGCCAAAATCATTTTTCTGTTCTTACGACTTATCCCCAAACCACTCCCGGTAAAGGCACAGATAGTGGTGATATTTTTTTTTTTTTAATTTTTTTTTTTAAACACACAAAGCCAGAATCAACACAATAGGCCTACGCAGCCACACGCTGCTCTGCTTCTAGGAAAAACAGGTAAGGAACCTGCATTTGTGGAAGGATGTCCCAGGAAGATTCTAAGATTCTAGTCAATAAAAAAGATCTCCAGCATTTGCTTACTGTCCTAGGTTCAAATGCAGAAAAAGAATCAGGAATTAAATGTACTGAGCAGAACTTTTACTGTAATCTTGGCTATGAGTGCCAGCTGGAGGTACTCACCTATTCCAAGGCGGTAACTGAGGTTCATCTCACCATCGGCTGGGAATGGCACTCGGCAGCGCTGGCAATTAGATCAGTAATTATTGTTCAAAGACAGCACTCATTAAGTTTTTGACAGTACTTCCACTTTGGATAAACAAAACCTTTAAATAAATAGATCTATCAAAAATGTAGTGTAGCTACACAACTTAACACAGTGCTTCAATACATAATGGAGTACAGATCAGAAAACTATTTAACTCACTTTGACTTATGCTTATTGCAGTATCTAAAAAGTTCTCCTTTACCAGCAAATGATGATGTAGTGCTTGGCAAAGAAATGCTATTGGTAATTCTTTAAACAAAGATTAAAATATACTTGTTATCCCCTTTTTGTTAGAAACAGAAACATTTAAGAAAAAATATTTTAATAAATCTATATCCTCAGCTATCTAATACTACTGCTACTAGTACACTAAACAAATTGCCTTACATGATTTATATACATCGATGAACTCGGATACTGGAATGGTTTCCTAGCAGACAGAAAGCATTGCTGGAGTCTAGCACGTCTTGTTTGAAGTGATCTTTGAGAAGTTAGAAAAAACTCCATTTTTGCATTGCTGCTTTTAGGGCATATGCCAAGCACTTGTGTAACCACCACCAGTGATGTAGAAATCTGCAAAAGATGCTGATATATTGCATTCGTGGTATCAAAAAATAAGAAGATTGAGCACTGATTTTTCAACATAAAAATAGAGCTTCAGGTATTTATAAAATCCTTTGTAATGGAGATTAAATCTTGCCCATTGCACGTTGTCTGCAACTATTCAGGACTTGTTACATGAACTATCAGTCCTATCTTATTATTTGGAAGATCTACTCTTGCACAAGGTGCAAATAAAACTCAGTCTAACTTTTATCAGCTATAAAACTTGACTACTAATGAAGTACCTTCTAATTTCAGTACAAAAGACTAAAGCAATTGGCCTGCACTGAGACTTGGAAAATGAATGAGCAGGTCCTGCAGCCTGCACAGAACCCAGCCACCCCCCACCACTGCCCAGGCGGCAGCACAGACACCCCAAGTCAGATTCCTTCCTCTGTTCTCAACAGTGAATTGCACAGCAATGAGCTCAAAAATGGGTTTTGCTGAGACTAAGGGTAATTTCTAGCCATGTTGACAAAGTACACTTTATCAGTCAAAAACGTCTGGGATAGATTAAA